AAGAAGAAGAAGAAGAAGAAGAAGAAGAAAAAGAAAAAGAAAAAAAAGAAAAAGAAAAAGAAAAAGAAAAAGAAAAAGAAAAAGAAAAAAAAGAAGAGGAGGAGGAGGAAGAGGAAGAGGAAGAGGAAGAGGAGGAAGAGGAGTTCTTCTCCACATCAAGCATGAAGTTCAGAAGTGGTTTCCATGTGGAAACAAAAGTACTTATACTATTTTTTCTTAATCAAAGTGGTCAGTTTTGCCATTTCAGCCAAACTCCATCAACTTCTGCAACCATTCGTCCATGGTAGGAATCAAAGTGTCTTTTTGTGCATACAATAGTCTTGCTGCTGTCAACATCCATCTCCTCCTCCTCCTCCTCCTCCCTTTTTCCTTTCTCTTCCTCCTTCATTCTGCAAACGCCACTCCCTTCTAGCACTGCTCATGAGGTTCCCTTGTTGGGCGATGAGACCTCTGCAAAAAAACCACCTAGGTCAGAAAGCACCAAGGTCTCCAGAGTTGAACATGTCCTCTATCTCTTGTTGAGAGCCCATGGCCTACCCCTCATGCTCAGTTACAACAATCCGTATCCCCCAACTATCATTCCTATGAATTGGGGCTGATGGAGAATTGGGCATTGAGACTATTTTCTATGCCTAGACAGACCGAGAACCCTGCGATTGATTTTATGTTCAGCATCCACAATTAGTAGAAGGTCTTCAGAGCATCAAGTGTGAGAATTGCCGAAAGCCGAGAAGCCCGATATTTTCAAGAGTCAATAAAGCAATTTATTGGCAAAGGGTTAAATTAAGGAGCAACGTTAAACAAACACACCTACAGAGAGACAAAAAAACAAAACAAAATAAACCCATTTCTATCCCAGATATATTTGGGGCAGAGGAAACTGCATTAACCTAAGGGAGGAGCTATCAAATGAACAGACAAACACAGCTTACAATATACAGCTTTTGTCGAAAAGACAAACACAGCTTACAATATACAGCTGTGCTTACAACTCTCCTTTTGACAGTGAAAGGTGCCTGCCGGAAGAAAAACAGGAAGAAAAATCAACATGGGCTTTCAAAGGTTCCTGGATGAACAAATCCAATTAATCTTTTATTATTTCTCTCTCTCTCTCTTTTTCCCCCCACACGGATTGCTTGGGGATATGTATTTTTTGCAAAGCACAGGATCAATCTGAAAAGCAGCTGACCAAGTTCTCAGAAAAGAAAGAGGGAATGAGGAATGAGGAAGGCAACGGTTAGATGCAGAGGTGATATTCAGCAGGTTCTGACCAGTTCTGGAGAACAGGTAGCGGAAATTTTGAGTAGTTCGGAATACCACCTCTGACTGGCCCTGCCCCTATCTATTCTCTGCCTCCCATTGAGTCCCAGCTGATCAGCTGGGTCTGCTTTGGTTGCCCTGCACAGGAGAACGGAACTGAAAAGCAGGTTAGTGGGGTGGGGAGGCAATGGAGATTTTGCAGCATCCTTCCCCTGCCACACTCATCACGCCCATCAAGCCACGCCATGCCCACCAAGCCACGCCCACAGAACCGGTAGTTAAAAAAAATTGAATCCCTCCACTGGTTAAATGGCTTCTGACTGCATTTTTTACGAGTGGCAGGGGTCATCTATTTCTGTTTCTTTTTCTTAATCAAAACAGGAAGATGGAAGGGATGGTGTGCTTTCACCCATAGATTTGCTTTTAAATATGCAGGTACTTTTTCAAAAGGCCACAACACTTTGAACGGCCACTAAACAAAACATTGGAAGTCGAGGGCTATCTGTGTGCAAATTAACAACAAAAACTGGGGGCTCAGTGGCCGTTGGACGTCCAGGATTACCTGTACAACTGTGGACCAAAAATGCAGGGAGGAGTTGAACATTTGAGGTTTGCTCTGTTTCCAGGTGAGTGCAGCTGCCACGAAGGATATGCCCCCGATCCTGTTCATCGACACCTTTGTATCCGTAACACCTGGGAACACAGCGAAGGGTGAGTCTTCTAGGGAAGGGGGGAAGGGTGAAAACCTCCAGGGAAAATTGGCAAGGAAGGAAAGATAGCTAAAAAATAAGCATCTTTGTGCAAGGGGACCAGACCAGAAAATCCAGCCCTTGTCATCTGCAAGAATTCATAACCTGCTCTCCAAATTCTGTCTGCCCGAGTGGGATTGTTTGCTTACATAACATTTTTTCCCCTGTTGACATTTTTAATGAGTTATAAAGTAATAAGGGGATGTGGTGGCTCAGTGGGCTAAGACACTGAGCTTGTTTATCAGAAAGGTCAGCAGTTCAAATCCCTAGCGCCGCGTAATGGAGTGAGCTCCTGTGACTTGTCCCAGCTTCTGCCAACCTAGCAGTTCGAAAGCACTTAAAAAATGCAGGTAGAAAAATAGGGACCACCTTTGGTGGGGAGGAAACAACGTTCTGTGCGCCGCCTTTGGCATTTAATCATGCCGGCCACATGACCACGGAGGTGTCTTCGGACAGCGCTTGGCTCTTCGGCTTTATAACGGAGATGAGCACCGCCTCCTAGAGTATGTGCAAGGGAAATATTTATCTTTACCTCACCTTGCCTTTGGGTCCTGTTCCGAGGATGCGAGTATACCACATTGCTTTCCTAGGTTTATCTCCCTTGAAATATCCTATGTGGAAGGAGATTTCTGTATAAATAATGCAATTAAATGTGTATGTATTAAAGATTGGCTTCTGGAGTGAAGGAATTATGCAGGGGCTCTGGCTCAAAGCTTGTAGGCGAAGTTTGCAAGCCAGGAATCTTAGTTCCAACACTATGCTACTCCAGCTAGTCAGTAAAGGACCTATTTGAATGCCATCAACCATCGCTCTGATTTACACAGCCCGATGCTGTGCATAACGTCAATTCCGAAGTCTCGAGAAACCATTAAAAGTTAAACAGCGGCAAGCACGCCTGACTTAAGCAGGGGGACAAAACAGAGCCTGGAAATCGTTATTTCAATACCATCTTAATATATCAATCAATCAGCAAGAGCCACAAGGCTGGAGCAGGACAATAAATATAATTAAATATAGATAAGCTGCCAGTGCATTAGAATGCCATAAATAAATAGCATAATTACGGAAAAAAAAGAAAAAGGCAGGATAATAAGCTGTTTGGGCCGAAGATGAGAAAATGATGTGGTGTTGAGTAATGTTGTTATTAAAAAGGAAATGGATTTGCTTCTGGCTGGGTCTTGTTTTTTTAAATTCCAACCCCTATCATGGCTAATGACTGTTTTCTTGCTTTGTTTTCACCAGCCCTTGGCCATACACAACTTTGGAAAGAGGTTATGATTTGGTGACGGGAGAACAAGCTCCGGAGAAAATTCTTAGGTGAGTCATGCAATCGGTTTGGTTGAAGTTTTGCCCTCGATGTGTCCTTTCTTGGTTTGGGTGGGGAGTTCAATTTCAGGGATCACTGTGGCATCCTTGGTGCTCCCTGAGCTTGGTGGTTTTCCTACAGATGTTTGCTGAAGTTGTTATTCTGTGATTCTGAGCTTTGGTTCCATCTAGCCCTTGACACGACCACAACTGAGCCTAAAATTTCTCTTGTGAAGTGAGGTAGAATAGAATAGAATAGAATAGAATAGAATAGAATAGAATATGGAATGCAATGGAACAGAAATCAGAATAGAATAGAATAGGATAGGATAGGATAGGATAGGATAGGATAGGATAGGATAGGATAGGAT